TCATGGTCTGTAATTGGATGACCATAAAGAGAGTTGATGGGTACTCTACAAAGCATGCTAGAGGACATGAGTGACCTAGATGGAATTTTCCCATCCTAAATATCAGGATAAATGTTTAAAGGCCCAATATTGAACTGGACAAAGATGACATGATACATGCCTTCTGTTCAATATAGACATAAGGACAAAAGGGTAATTGTATACACAAGTATTATCACAAAAGGTTTTGTCAAATCACATGAAACTTTCATGACTTGGGTAGTAGTGATGTGTTGATAGATATCGCTCATTGTTTATTATGTTAAATGCGTGCTTTAATATAATTCCCAACGTTGAGAAAACCTACAAGGTCACACACATAAGGACAAATTGATAAAAGGTAGAGAAAATAAGGAACATCGTAAGGTATAATTCACTTAAGTAAATGTTGAACACCGTAAGATACAACGCACTTAAGTAGAATACATAATATGGTAAGGTACCACACGCTTAAGTGATATACGGTACACCATAAGATATGGTGCGCATGCACTTAAGTTGGCTTTTTAGCTTGTAGCCCACAAAAGTGGTTCTATAAATAGAATCCTTGTGCAAAAGCATTTACACTTGATGAAAATTTGGTCTGTGACACCCTAACCGTATTTTCCTTCTCTCTCTCTCTCTCTCTCTCTCTCTCTCTCTCTCTCTCACTCACTCACTCACTCACTCAAAACCTTCAATTGTAGTAGCTGACACTGAGACGGAAGGAATCTATTCGTATGGACTGATCATTCAACGCTCATGATCACTCGTTCGATTCAACATAAAATGTTTTATTGCCACAAGAGGTAACCATTTCTATCACTGATCATGCCCATTTGTAAGGATCACTAAAGGAAAAATTTTAATTTTCGCTGTGTTTTGGATCATGATTTCCCTTCAAGAATTTATTCCAATTTTTCTGCACACTCAACAAACTGGTTAGAGTACAAAATTATTCTTTTACATTTCGTTATCATCAAAACATAAGAATAGTTGTAGCACCAAACATGTTCCAACAATCTATTCTTTAATATTTTGTTTAACATTTACTTTCCTGAAATTTTTACACTGAGACTTTGATCCTAACTTGATTCTTAATGAGGGACAAATGTTGCGAAATAAACTAACCTGTTATTAAGCTAACACTGATTTCATTTTTCTATAACGGATTACATGTTTTATATAACCCATATATCTTCTATTTGGATCACAATCTCATTGAAATAATTTGTTATAATTTGGATTCTTAATTCATGGAAAAATAGATTTTCACTTAAACCTCACGAGATGGTCAATGTGAACTAGTAAAAGATCTTGACAAAAAGGGACTTGCTTTTGTAGCTTAAAACCATAAAGAAGAAGTAATAAGATATCAAAGGAGTATTACAATTCCTAATGCACGGTTCAATAGTTTTTATTTATTCAACATATCCTAGTCAGCCACGAGACCGTAGTTCCAAGTACTGATAATAGTCTTCTTGATGCAAACAAGGTAGACACGAGGATCGTGTAAAATTGAAGAAAATTGAAGTGTTCAATGACAAGATTACCTTTCTTGCGAGCTAATATGAACGTAACTTAGGGTTTACAATTTCTTCCTTCCTTTACCATTCCTTGCACACTATTTTGGATCAAGTGAAGGAATGTATACTTAAAAGAAGGCTGAATGGGTATATTTGGTCTCCAAATATTTAGTTTTCCTAAAATATTTACACCAATACTTTGATTCCAACTCTATTCATAATGAAGGACAAGTGTTGTGGAAGGAACTAACCCGCCATGAAACTAACATTGATTTCACTTTCTCAATAATGGATTAAATGTTTTATTTAACTCGAATATCATTAATTTGGATCCTGATCTCATTGAAAGTATTTTGGATTCTCAATGCAGAGAAATATGGATTTACATTCCAAGCTCAGGATGTGTTTAACGAGAACTACTTTGATGATAACCTTGATATTCTCAACAAATTAAGTGACAACTCTATCAAATTATTAGATTCCCTTTTATAAATAGTTTCAATAGAATATTGCGCGCTTTCACTCTTTTCCTTCCTAAGTATTTTTCAATCTTTATAATTTTTGAATACTTATTGTTATTTTCTTATAAACCTAATATCTGAAAATGACCTCATATAATTCAAAAATTTAAAACTAAACAAAATAAATGTTGAAGTAAAATATTTTGGGGGATCTATATGTGATTCAAGATCATAGTACCATTCGCCAATGCACAAATGAGGTGAATTATAAGTCGTTCTTTTTAGATTTAGCCAATCATAAACTACCCCTTACTTGTGATTGATTTATTGTTAAAAAGAAATAAAGCGAGTTTATAATACGCCTTCTTTAACTCTTAACCACTTGACTTAAATTTTTAGGGTAGAAGTTGCTAAGGAGCAAGATTGGAAGAAGTGGAACATCTATCAAAAGATTATGCTGTTGAAGATGAACATGAAGTTTAACATGAAAGATTTATTTGGTCTCCAATTCTAATGTTCAATAAGTTCTTATTCCTTCGTCTATCCTTGAGGTATGATGACCTTACACTTTTTGAAGTCATTTCCGTACTTTGCATTCCCATCATTGGGTTTAACTCATACAACTCGCGGTGTTCCCATCCCATAATTGAATTTTTTTAAGGCCTATTCCAATTATTTCGCGTTTATGGCACATAATGTTGAGACTTAAATCAATTTACAAATGTGGAGTACACCATTTTCTTATTGTTTCAATTTAACAATTTTATTTATTTGTACGTTATGTAGCAGTCATCCAAGAGTTGTAAATGTATGTTTCCATATTACTATCCGATAGGAACATAAGTTGAAGTTCTTAATTTTTTTTCTTCCTTTACCATTCATTGCATACTATTTTGGATCAAAAGAGGAAATTCATACACATAAAGAGGGTGAATGAATTTATTTCATTTCTTAATATATGTTTTTCTCTTTATTTTCTTAAAATTTTTACACCAAGACTTTGATATGAACTTAACTCTTAATGAGGGACAAGTGTCGTGAAATAAACTAGCCCATTATGAAGCTAACATTGTTTTCAGTCTCACAAAAATGGGTCAAAGGTTTTCTTTAACTATAATATCATTTATTTGGATCCTAATATCATTGAAACAATGTTGTCTAATTTAAATTCTTAACGCAAGAAAATATGGCTTTACATAACGACGCAATTAATGAGAACTAGTTAAAGATCTTGACATCAACTACTTTGTGGCTTAAAACCATGAAAGATAAATAACATGACATTAAATGAGTACTACAATCTATAATGTGTGATTCAATAATTTTAATTTCTTTAACATATCCTAGTTGGCCACGAGGTCGTAGTTCCACGTATTGATAAAAGTCTTCTTATTGCAAACAAGATAGACAAGGTAGTTCACCTAAACTTGAAGACGATTCAAGCGTTCTCAATGGAAATATTTGCTCATGATCATGAGAAAGCCAATTCATACTCCAATTGGTAGCAACTAATAAATTACAATATCTTCAATAAATTCATCATCGTGCATTATTATCCTGATGCGCAAATAATCTAGTAAAAGAATCAACTCGAAATGTTAATCTTGTTAATGTGGTGCTTCCTCATCATAGTAAACCCACCACAAGAATTAGAATGTCATCAACTACCAAAAAAAGGTAAACTTGTGATTTCTTTCAATTGTTTGACTTTCTTGATTCATGATTTAACTAAGTTATCTCTCGCTCTTATCCTTTTATTTAGGTAAAATTCTAACTGTGGTGTCTAGATTAACGAAACTTTGAGTCCAAGCGATGTCTAAATTAAAGAGAATGAGTTCAAGCAATGTCAGGATTGACGAAATCTCAAGTCAAATTACTTCAAAAATCAACAAAAATGCAGGAATTTCAAGACAACCTAATCCTTCACCATCTTTACCACCAATTTCTCTACCAAACATTTCTTAAGAGGAATTAGACAAGTATTTCTCAAAATATTATCTCTCTTCCACCATTTTCTTATACACTAAAGGATATATTAATAAGGTAGATACAACATTTAAAATAAAGAATCCTTACAAAGACAGATGAAACAACTAATTGACACAATTGTTTATAATAAAAATTATCATTGATTCGACTAACAATTGTATACAATTATACATACATCACCTAATTCGATTGAGTAAAACTCAACTAAACTTAAATTCAACTAATCTTTCATTTGCTAACAAATTATTTAATTTTGTAAAATAGTTTTTTTTTTAAATATACATAAACATTAAACCTACACATAATATTGTTGTTTTTTTTAAGTCCACTTGTGAAAACTTTTCTTAAAGCTTAAATTGACATTATTTACTAACACATGGGCCCTTTCAAAGATAAAGTGGGACTCATTGAAAGCTTGTAAAGGCTAATTACCTACCTTGACTTGTTCAATTAATTTGACCATAGTAGTACAATCTAAATTTTTGAAAAACTTTTTATTTTATAAAACTAAAGCAAGTAATCATCCCGGAATCAGAGGAAGTAAAATTGTTTAAGTCTTATTAGTATTACACATTTCATTTTGAAAAAACATAAATATTATTGATATCGTAAAGTCTGTAATTTTTTTTTAACAAATAATATATCATATCGTAAATTTAAATATGTAGAATTAATATTGATCAAGTGAGATGTTTATCTGAAACTCTCGGCGTATAATTTGATTACTACCGTAGCTTATTGATTTCCTAGTTTTTCTCTTTGATCAATCCTTTCATTTTCTCTAATCAACGAATTAATTAATTGTTTAATAATAACAGTGACTCTAATCATTTCCAAAATCAACTTGTGTTTTGTGTTCGTACGTTAAACGCCGTTAGAACCGGTCTATCATCTCATTCATCTAATCCAATTCAATTTTTTTATTCCTTTTTCCCCTTTCTCTTTCTCTAGGGTTTTTCTTCCACCAATTTCACATTTCAATTTCACACAACGACGTCGTTTCAAGATGATGCCCCCGGGCCTCGTTTCCAATCTCCAAGAAGCACTTCTCAACAGAAAACCACCACAGCAACAAGATGAATCAAACGACGCCGTTTCGTCCTCCGCCGACGAACCTATCGAATTCGACGAATCTAAGCCTATTGTGCTGCTCACGAATAGCGAGGGAGTTGAATCGCCGGGTCTTATACACCTAGTTGAAGCTCTCGTTCTTCAAGGACTTTACGATGTTCATGTTTGCGTTCCTCAATCGTGCGTTCTATTGATTATCTATTTTTTTGGTTTTTTTTATTGAATTTGAATAATGTGGAATGTGTTTGTAATTTTTGTTAGTCGCTGAAATGGTTGCTTTAGGGATAAATCTGTTTCTGGTCATTCTGTTACGGTTCGAGAAACTGTGGAAGCTTGTTCTGCTAAAGTTAATGGTGCTTTTGCTTTTGAGATTTCGGGTATTAGTTTCATTCAATTCTGTTTCTAAATCTGATTAATTAAAATTGAAAATCTAAAATTATTATCAAAAAAAAGATTTTTTTTTTAAATTTTTTATTTATGATTCTTATAGAGATGAATTTGTTATTGTTTTCTGATTTTTAATTTATGATGATGATGATTCAGGAACTCCTGTGGATTGTGTTTCATTGGCTTTATCTGGAGCGTTGTTTTCGTGGTCAAAGCCTGTGTTGGTTAGCATTTATTGTTGTTTTCTATCTTACAAATGTATATTGAATCGTGTCTGTGTTTTTTCTCTTGATGAAATGTTGTGATATATATGGATTGTGATTTGAATTGAATTGGATTGAATTTCAGGTTATTAGTGGGATTAACCGAGGATCAAGTTGCGGTCATCACATGTAAGTTGCTAGTTTATAGTTAGGGGTAAATTTATGTAAATCTGAAATAGGACTTGAGACAAATTCCCACCTTTCATGTTGTAGTGTTATGTATGTATTGGTTTTGTTTTGAGCTGTGTCTCTTTGTATCTCATGCTTTGAAATACTCTAGGTTCTACTCGGGGGTTGTTGCTGGAGCTAGGGAGGCATTGTTATGTGGTGTACCGTCATTATCGATATCATTAAACTGGTGAGTTGATGATTCTAGACATCTGGTTTTTGGTTTCAACTGTGCTTTCATGCTAATGATTTTGAATTGGTGGCATCTTATCCGGTTAATAGGAAGAAGGATGAAAGCCAAGAAACTGATTTCAAGGATGCAGTAGAAGTCTGTTTACCGTTGATAAATGCAGCTATTAGGGATATTGAAAAGGGGACTTTTCCCAAAGACTGTTTTCTAAATATAGAAATTCCAAGGTCACCTTTGAGCAACAAGGTGGGTTATATTATATCTTGGATGATTTTGTTTTCATATGTTTCACTGTGTTGTGCAAATGCTCTTGCTTTGTAGGTTTTTGGTTATCTATTGTACGAAATCTAGTGTGCATGATAGTAATCTAGGGCTTTTGGCTATTGAATTCTAATGAACAAATGATTTCGTAGTTGTTCTTTTCTCGCATATCGTTAACAATGATAAGTGGTATCCTTTTATTGATAGGGTTTCAAATTGACCAAGCAAAGTATGTGGAGATCCACTCCAAACTGGTTAGCTGTTTCAAATAGCCGCTATCCAACTGGTCATTTCTTGGCCAACCCACAAGGTGGGCTAGGTCTCCAGTTTGCACAGCTTGGCCGAGATGCATCTGCAGCTGTAAGTATTCCACACTACATACAAAGCATGTGTTATGTTGATATTTTTTGTCTAGTTTTTGGAGGGATTTTAGTGTATCTAATCTATCGATGCTGATATTTGAATCCGTATCTTGTTCAGGGTGCAGCTCGTCGGTTAGCTACACAGAAAAAGAATTTGGAGATTATTGAATCAACCGGAGCTGCAGGAAAACCTGATGCCAACAGAGTGAAGAAATACTTCAGACTAGAGGTAAATGGGAGGATGAGGGGGATCTTGAGTAGAGTTTGTTATCATCTTGTACAACTACTATTAATATTGAAGTTAATCTGTTTCAATACTAAGTTTAGAAGATACCAATTTGTGGAGAATAGATCATCATAGAGGTTGTTACCTTCATCCTTGAGAAGATTTATTTAAGTTTTTGACCATGAGTTTTACAGTTCTTTGTATTTTAGATTTTTAATTTGTTCCCTTAATACATTATGTGTTATATTATTATTTCAATTTAACATCTTTAAATTACTTGCTCCTTCAGTTTTTGGATAAGCAGCAGGAAGAAATAGAAGATGATGATCTGGATTACAGAGCACTTGAAAGTGGATATGTAAGTTGGAATGTTAAATTATTTTCTCAATTGATATTAGTTATTTTTAACTATATTGTACGTTCTTGACGGTTGCACTCAACTATAGTACCAATTTTGCCTCCTTCTCATTCTGATGGGTTCTTGTATGTGATTTGGAGAAACAGGTTGCAGTGACTCCAGTATCTGTTTCTCCTCATATTGAAACCGATATTCAAACGACAACTTCAGATTGGATTTCTTCTGTGATTCCTGGTGGAGAGTAAATTAAAAATTCAGTGTGTTTGTGTTATGTGTACATCAGAGATTTGAGAATTCTTTTTCCTTTTTCTTCTTTAAAGCAAAGATGGAGCAGAAGTGGTAGTCACTCACACGAATTCAATATTTCATTTGAATTTGTACTCTTTTACTTTTACATTTTTTTTGGGTTTCCTTCATTGTTTTTCAGTTCCCTTTGGCCACTTAGGTATTTCTGGTTTGAAGCAAAAGCTTCTTGTAATTTGTTGGGCATGTTTTAGAAAAATGCCATATGGTCTGTTTGTAATATCTATTGCTAGCAAAACACTGGAACACTGCTTGTAACATTTCTTCTAGATAGTTAAGCTTTGGATTGATTATTTATTGGAAATGTGATCTAATGGAAGTATTTGTCACAGATTTTGTTGAAAGAATTAAATTTTCAAATTGAATGCGTTTAGATACTCTATTTATGATGTTAAGTTTGTTTGTTTATGGATTGTGAAACAAAATTAATGACCGACAAGAAATTATTGAAGGACTAACTAATGCGTTTAATGCCAATCTGGGCTACCACAGAAGATCTAGTGTAGAGAGCAGACATTGATGAGATGGGATTTAATCATTGTCGGCTTGATGAATGAAAGCATTGAAGGTTCTTTTACCACATTGTTTGGCTTCCATTAGTACGGCCAAAACACTTCATTCAAACCAAACAAGCTAGCATCTACTAACCGCAATCTATATCGAGATACATTATCATACCCTTTTTATTCCCTCTACCAAATTGTACGGGAGTCATAAATTTATTTATTTTATTTTGACCTCCTAAATTACAAAAGTTAAGTACTTTGGTTTTTAAAATTCTTTTCCTTTCTATTTTAGTCTTACACTTTGATCCTTTATTATCTATTTTAGAAAATTTAATAGTATGTTTATAAAGAGTAATTTGTCATAGTTTTTGTTATGGGCCGGCTGATAGTCCAAGAAGAAAAGACCCATCAACGCTCTAAAGAACACTCAAGTGAAGAAAAGATTCATTAATGCTCTAAAGAACACTCAAGTGAAGAAAAGATTCATTAATGCTCTAAAGAACACTCAACTGAAGAAAAAAAATCATTAACGCTTTAAAGAACACTTAACTGACTTGATCTAAAGGTAAATACTTGCGAGCACGTGAGACATGATCTAAAGGTAAATACTTGCGAGCACGTGAGACATGATCAAGTCATACTTTAATGAGAGGTATTCATACTTTTTACGTTTCACTCTACCTCTTTTTTGGTCTCAATCATTGACTTGTGCGTTAAAGTGTTAATCTTATAGGTTCACTACCGTGATTCACCGCATCAGAGACTTCCGACATCACACTAGGAGTCTAACTTCTCATCTTAAGCATAATTCTAGTTCCAATTCGGAACGATAGTGATGTATGTGAGAACCGACTGCTGATTTCTGCAAAATTTCACGATTAGGTCTCGTCTAATCCAGATCCAAATTGCTATAGTAAAACCTTTATATGGAGACAACAACTCATGATTTCGATCCCTCTCATTCTTATGAACAATCTAATCTGACGCTACTCTGTGATCAATGTGACCAGAGAGACATCATCGAAGTAAGGAGATCTCTCGTGCCAAGGTTAACTCAATAAGCAATGCATACCAGAGAATGAGAAGATGACAAACCAATATTAGGTTTTCATGACCATGAGAAGGTGAATGGAATCTCTAATGTTTCAATGTCGTTAGTTCAAACTACCAACGTCACAAATAACACCTCCTAGTAGACGATGGAAGTGTTGTAACTTGATATACTCAGAGAGATTTAATTAATTAGGTTTACGTGGGCAAGATCTAAAACCATGTGAAGACGAGAACTTTTTAGCATTCAATGATTCCGCTACCCGACGTGTAGGGCAGTGAATTGAAAATCTTACTCGGAGAAGGGAAAGATGGAAGAAGCACGAACGTGTACTTCGTGATAGTCCTTTGTGGAAGTGTATTCAACAACATCCCTGGGAGGCCATTCATAGCAGCATTGGACGCGATGACTTTCCCAGTCCACCTCAATATGAAGTACCACATAGATGACGGAAGGCCGGTTACCGTTACTATCGACCTACGTGATGCTAGACGCATCCACGACATAATACTTAGATGAATGTGTACCACATAGAAGGCCATGATGATAACATTGGAGGAAGTTAATGTATTCGACCTCGACGCCCAAAAAGATGACACCTACTTTGACGAGCCCGTTTTGCTGTCTGGTGCAAATAATCTAAGTGTTTCCCTTGAAAATCAAAAAACAACCGCTGATCTTTCAAATCTAACTTTGGTGACTCACAGGATCGATCAGATTGATCCTAGGAGATGTGCTAAAAGGTTTCGTTTTCTAGAATCTATCTAAGTTACACACTTCGACAATATTGGGTGAAAAGTTTTAAGGGTAGAATTGTTTATTAGACTGAAGAGAGGAAGGAGATAGAAATTTGGGATAGAAAGAAATATAAATCTTTAAAGGAAGAAAAGGGGTTAAAGGTAAAGTAAGAATGCATAAAAACTGGAAACTATTGCGAAAAGGTAAAGAAACTTAATAAAAGTAAAATGACAAAGTAAACTTCATTAAAAAGTAAAACATGGTGTGTTTACTGATCGCGACTTTCTATGTCTAATACAACTAACTGCAAGTGCACAGTCTATCGCGTAGTAATAAAAGATATCGATCCCACAGGGACTCGTAATCAAACTAGTGTTCTCGGGAGTTACTATGTTTAGCTAGGTAGAATATGTTTTAATGGAATAAGATTGTCACTAAAAGGGGAAACTAAGATTACTATTTAGATTTTAATTAATTGAATCGATACGTAGAAATTGTGTTCTTCAAGGATTTGATAAGTTACTGGTGTATGAAATAGTTTTCACAGTTCATTTAAGCAGAAAATGGAGATTTGAAGACTCTCGTCTCACAATGGTTATTGACGCTAATCATAATCCTAAGGGCCTAACGTACACTTTCGTATTCCGTTCGGGGTTAAAATTACTTTTTGGAAATCTCTAAGTTCTAATTCGTTTTAAAGTGCTTTCGATGTTATTAAAACAAATGCCTAGTGTTTACTATTTGACCTTACCGCAGTTTTCGCTTGTTGGTTCGTATCTTAATTAATTTCCCACTTTCGTGGCAAAACTACTTTAAAATAAGTTCTCGCTTTCGCGACGAAGTTTATTTCGTAAATCAATTTTAAACACTTAGACCATAAGTTATTTTTGTGAAAAGAAAGTTTTCAAACAAGAGTTATCAAATCCCATTCGAATTATTACTACATATCGATTACCTAAGTTTAGCTAGACATGGAATTTGGAAAAGCAAAACATAAATAATAATAATAAATAATAAATTGCATTATGATAAAATAGAAGTCGATCAAAATGAAAACCTGTAAATAATGCCAATTGGCCTTTGGGCAGATCCTCCACAGATGTTGGCAGGATTCTGTCTTTAGTTCCAATTCGATCGTACAGTGTAGTAACAATTACAGAAGAGCGGAAATGGGAATGAGGAAAATGGCAGGGAAATAAAGGAAAGGGATACAAATAAAACTGGAGAAATGGATACAAATAATAACTGAAAATAAATTTGCTCTGGAAATTAAATTTGGCAGCACTTCGTGGTATGAATGCAGCTCCCTTTTGAAGTCCCCTGCTTCCCTTTTTATAGAAGTGGAATTCCAACGGTTACCTCTGAGGATGATGGACCTTGAGGCAGATAATTTAGGGAGTAGTTGACCATTTAATGGGAATTGGAACTACTCGTTTGACGTGTAATCTGAGTGGGGCGTTTTTGCCTGCATGACGGTCGTCACAAGGTGTGACGGTCGTCACCCGTGTGACGGTCGTCATGCATCTGTGACGGTCGTCACATCAGCAAAAACTGTCTGCTGCGCTTTTCATTGTGTTTTCACTCCTTTTTCGTCCATATTTCATCTGGGATTGCTTCTTTTCTTCATGTTGCCTTGTTTAGACGTGATCGTTGAATACCTTCAAAAACATCAGACAAATACATGGAAATAACCCGAAATCGGATCGAAAACGGTTAGACTTTAGTTGAATTATGCATGAAAATATCTATATGATTTCGTGTTATCAAACTCCCCTAAGCTTGAATCTTTGCTTGTCCTCAAGTAAAATGTGGAAAGGTCGGCAAGCACGAGGCTGCTTCTTCGTTCGCAGAGTTTGGAAAAACCGGGATTCTTGGTAGGAACAAGACGAGTATCATGACGACACTGGACTACGAGTCTCCGGAGGTCTCCTTTTTATGCAAATCGGTCTCAGTCATGCTACCGTATCTTGGTGTCAAGGTTCTCGTGGCAAGTTCACCCTGTTTGTTCTAGCGCAATCACATTAAGCCCGTTGTCCGCACACTTTCATGGCAAGTCGACCTGTTAGTGAATATGATCTCGTTTTTTTTTTGTTTTTTTGATCTTCTTCATTGATCATAATTTGGTGTCATTGATTTTTCAATGAGTTTTTCGTGCCGTTGGGCTAAATGCTCGGGTGAGGAGCACCTAACTTAGAAGGAAACGTATCTTATATTCTTAGGCTTTTTAGCTCTCTTTTCATGATTTTTCATCTTTTTGGAGATCATACACTTATTTGCATCGGTCGCTCGCTTAGAGGTGTTTTTAGGATGGTGCTGACTGCTAGTATAAACTACTTGGGGTTGAGTTTGCGTAGACACTTGAGACTTTGGTACACGTAGGTGGTGAAACCGACTCGCATAAACTAGAGATCTAAGGTGTCTGGAGGATACTGGTTTTGTTAGAACTGTCGTTTCCTCGGAGTTTCAAAACTCGGTTTGAACTCAGGTGCATTCTCGTGATGCTTTTGCTTTTGAAGAACAAATGAAAGTTTTTGTTTACGTTGAATAATGTGGGGATAGTTTGCGTAACGTGAAAAATATATAGACGCGCTTTATTTGCTAGAAATAGAAAGTGTAAAAATAGATATTACCAGAATTCAAAGTGCAG